TAAATTACAGTTTCGGAAGCGAAGCGAGGGCGGGTCGCTAGTGGTATTATAAAGTGTAGATAATGTAGTATATGACAAGTCAATTACGTGAATATTGAGCATCGTTTGCTTAATTTTCAGGGTATTTACCCTGAGGGAAATCACTCACTTCGCTCATCTAATGAAGCCAGCGTATATTGAATTTCGTCGTATCGAAGCTACCGTAAACAGTGCACACTTTAAATAAAGTTTTGGCGCTGTTCGACATAATAAAAATATATATTTAAACTCAATTCGTGCTCGAGCTCGTAGACCACCTGATGTTAATTGACTATTGTAAGGGACAAAATTGTAACCGGACCTTCTAACCGAACATATTTTAGTTTTTTTTATTGCATAGATGGGTGGAGAGACTCAGTGGGCTGTGTCTATGTCTATTTACTCGCCTAGCCCTTTGTCGCAAGCGACGGGTTCGACGAGAACGACGACCGGTGCTTGGAGTACCTAAAAGCGCCGCTAGTGGATCGGGAGGATACGAAAAGACGTGTTTTGGGCGACGTCCACTGTTTAATTACACTCAGTTTAATTACAACGGCTGCCCCACCCTTAATACGAAACGCATTACTGCTTCACGGCAGAAATAGGCAGGGTTGTGGTACCTCCCCGTGTGGACTCACAAGAGGTCCTACCACCAGTAGTTACGCAAATTAATTTTTTTTTTACAAGATTTTTTTTTTGTATGAGCTGTGCCTCGTAGATTCTACCACCGGATCGGAAGAGCGACCCACTGAGAAGATCCGGCGAGGAACTCAGTGGGCTTCTCATCGCTCGATTTGACTACACCAATGTTGTTAAATGAATCGTTCTTACTGAAACTCTTTCTATTTGCAGACTAGATTTTTGAAGCCGTCATGGCCTAAAGGATAAGACGTCCGTTGCATTCGTATCTAGCGATGCACCGGTGTTCGAATCCCGCAGGCGGGTACCAATTTTTCTAATGAAATACGTACTTAACGAATGTTCACGATTGACTTCCACGGTGAAGGAATAATATCGTGTAATAAAAAGAATCAAACCCGCAAAATTATAATTTGCGTAATTACTGGTGGTAGGACCTTTTGTAAGTCCGCGCGGGTAGGTACCACCGCCCTGCCTATTTCTACCGTGAAGCAGTAATGCGTTTCGGTTTGGAAGGTGGGGCAGCCGTTGTAGCTATACTGAGACCTTAGAACTTATATCTCAAGGTGTGTGGCGCATTTACGTTGTAGATGTCTATGGGCTCCAGTAACCACTTAACACCAGGTGGGCTGTGAGCTCGTCCACACATCTAAGCAATAAATAAAAAAAAATACAAGCACACGGCTCCTCGTCTGATCTTAAGCGGTTGCAAAGAATTGAATTGAATTATCAGCTTTATCGATCAATCAATTTAAATATTGGGTATACTAAAGTGGATTGATCGATTTGAATGAGTACACGACTTCAATAACACTAAACATACCATAACGGGTCAAATGACCCATTTTAAACTTTTGCATTGAAAATGCAGTATCATCTTATTGCTTTTGCGCATTTGACTTCATGACTTTTTCTTACCAATTAATCTACAGTTATTATACTTTTTTTTTGTTTGTATTGTTTATTTTGAGTAATATTTGTTGTATACCGCTATCTACCCGCTATGGCAGAAATAGGTACCAGTAAGTGTTGGTATGATTAGTGTTAAGGTATCATCAGATATTCTGTAAGTCGTATTAGGTTCGACAGTATTCAACCACCAATTTCTTAATCGCAACCATGACTAAATCACAATTTTTATGTTCAAAAATTTTATTAATAAAACTCGTTTATTTATGATTTAATAAAAAATCCGTTTCATACACAAATCTTTTACATTCGACACGCTAGTATTATAGAATACTAGCGACCCGCCCTCGCTTCGCTTCGGAAACATTAAAACACACATGAAACCAAAAAAATAAAACAAAAAAAAATTAAAAAAAGTAGCCTATGTTCATCAGAGACAATGTCGGCTTCTAATGGAAAAAGATTTTTTCAAATCGGTCCAGTAGTTTCGGAGCCTATTCGAAACAAACAAACAAACAAATCTTTCCTCTTTATAATATTAGTATAGATATAGATAAATGAAGGCGATTTGCGAATTCTCAACGTCAAAAACTAACACGAGAAACGCCAAAATCGTCCTTACTGTGCTGCTCCAGGCTGCTCCGTTGAAAGTATTTTTTTCTTTTCCAACGAAAATAAAATAACAGGCCTTATGTCGCTCGAGGGATGAAATATCGGGAATCGATTAATTTCACCACTGAGCTCATTTGTACGACCGCGGAGTAATATCTATTCACAGCCGAAGTAATTTGTTCTGTAATAGACCGGAGATAAACGGAGCATGTTATATTGTAATTTTGCTTGTGGCTCCCTAAACACTCTTACGTATTATTCAATTTATCTGTTACGTTTCCGTTGAGTTAAGAAACGCGTTAATATAATATGTATATTGTTTTTTATTGCTTAGGTGGGTGGACGAGCTCACACCCCACCTGGTGTTAAGTGGTTACTGGAGCCCATAGACATCTAAGTTCTCAGTAGAGTTACAACGGCTGCCCCACCCTTCAAACCGAAACGCATTACTGCTTCACGGCAGAAATAGGCAGGGTGGTGGTTACCTACCCGCGCGGGCTCATAAGTAGTCATACCACCAGTCAAATGTAGTTGTGTATTCTTTACCGATGATCAGCATATGATAAGTCTACAACCAAATCATAGAATAGTTTTAAACGGCGGCAAAGACCATATTAATCAAACATGGCCTCGTTTTTTTTGCCCTTGTAGGCAAACCAACCAACTGACGTCAAAACACTGGGGGTACTGCTAAGCCGCTGCCTACGTTTCTACACATTCTTCAAAATAATGGACTCTTTACATATTGTGAACTTATTAGGCAATATTCTTAATAAGCAAATAAACTAAATGATATTGATCACTCTACAATAGCATTAATGTAATTAAACTAACAATGTAAGTCCCTGAATTTCCTTAATGATATCAAATTGGACTTCACAAAGGAAATTGATTGACTTCTGATTGACTTTTACCTTTTGGGCTTGATAATCTCGAACATTGGACATTAATTTATTGTCGACAGATTGTTTGGTTGTGAATCGATCTGACAGCTTCTAGGTAAATTAATTGTTTAATTAATGTTAATAACGTATTTACAAATAATTTGTTTAAGATCAATATTTCTATTGAAATACATACGTACTTAATAAATATTCACGATTGACTTCCACGATGAAAGAATAACAACGTTGTTATAAAAACCATACCCGCAAAATTATAATTTGTGTAATATTGATGGTAGGACGTATCGTGAGTCCACACGGGTAGGTACCACCGCCCTGCCTATTTCTGCCGTGATGCAGTAATGCTTTTTCAGCTTGAAGGGTGGGGCAGCCGTGGTACTGTAAAAACTGAGACCTTAAAACTCATCTCAATGTGGGTGGCGGTATTCACTTTGTAGATATCTATGGGCTTCGGTAACCACTAAACACCAGGTGGTCACCAGACCCTTGAGCCTTGCCCATCCATCTAAACAATAAAAAAAAGATGTGTGGTGTGGAACACCGGATAGGAACGAAGTTCCTTATTATAAAAATATTAATTTTAAGTTCTATTCGAGGTATAAAGAAAATAATTATTCGGGTACACATTTTTTATTATGCTTTTTTATTGATAAAAAAAAACTACTTTACAAAGTTATCAACTTTATTTTATTCACAATGATTTATAAAAAATAAAAAATAAAAATGTTATATTTTGTACGTTACTACAAAGTTAAGCCGCATACTGTGTGCATTACTAATTTGTACGTTATTACAAAGTTAAGTCGTACACTGTGTGCATTACTTATAAAAATCTTACGTTACGGTCGTTTTTTCCCGGTTAGGGTACCCCTCCGCATCGTCCCATAAGGAACTTCGTTCCAAAATACATAAAAAATGAGAAAGACGTATATTTTATAAAGTGCACTAATGAGATTGTTAATTTACATTAAGTCAAGTACAAGAAAGACATGTCCAATAATGGCGAGCAATCTGCGGAAACAGAATCGGGAAGGGACTTTGCCAAGTCGAAAACAGACAGTGTTGTGCGAGAAAATTAACAAAGTTTAACAAGTTTCATTGAAAAAACACAACTGTGTTCTAAAAAATAATAAAAACCGTGGTTAAACTAAGTTTCAATGTGTTTTTTTTTTTCACAATCCGATTCATTATTCCAAACAATTAATGTATCAAGATAGTTTGCGGTAATGATTTTGTGTTTACTGTGAACTTTGAAATGAAATACGAGGAAATGACTCCATAGAGCGCCTTGTCGTTCAGGACAAAGTAGAACGCACCAGACCGCGTGAAAGAGTGCCCATGCGATGGACAGACCAGATCAAGTCGGCAGTTGGCGGCTGCTTGCATGAGTGTACCAGGCTCACCACAAACCGGGAGGAGTGGCGGTTACTCGTGAGGCGCATAGCATCTGCCCACAGCAATGATGCTGGATGACGACCACGACTGCTCTGACAAGAGTGATACGGCATACGTATACGTGAACTTTGGTAACTGTTTGAAAATCGAGAGGCTGTAAGATCATCAGACTCGGTGCCATACGGCCATACACTAGAAACAATGGGAGAATCTCACATTACCGATCCCCCAGGTTTTTGTCACTCCCATAGTAATAATCTCCCCACGTCATTGCCATTCTGCTAACTGCAGTCCTGGGAGCCCGAGGATTTTCCTTCATCTACCATGAATAGATAGCTCTTCAAAGATGGAAACGGACATACGCAGTACACAATCCAGTTGTCTATGCGCTTGCCCTTATGCGCATTGATCACAAGTGGACAAACAAACAACAAACATACGTACCTTGAAATAATTACAGCGTTAGTAAATTATGTATAATTACTAAAAAAAAAATTAACATTTCCTTTATTTTTGTTGCAGGTACTAAAAAAGAAAGATAATTTTCTTTTGCGCTTGTAATCAACCGGTACCTCCGAATCTGGAATTAGCAGGTTCTTTGTAAGTACCATTACTTTTTAAAGTTATACTTCTTTAGGCGCGTTATGTAAAGTTGATGAGAGTGACATTTTACGATGCGCGCGCACCGTGACAGAAATGAATTTGCCCACTAAATCGCTCATTACAATGCGACCGACGTAACTTGGCGAGTCTGAATATAGCCGCAGGCGAACTTTCCGAACCGTACCGAGAATTACCGAATTTATACGATGTCAAGAAAAGGGATGTCCAATATGCGTGTTTGAGGATGTTGTTTAATCGATATTTTTTTCAATTTGATTAAAATTTAAAAAAAAAAAAGAAATAAGTTTAATAAAAATAAAGTATAACTTCTTACGCGCGTACATAAATAGACGCACCCTTTTTTTTTAGTTTTTTGACTTCTGTGTTGTGTTATCAATGCTGCCTTCTCAGACAAATGCGTTTGACTATGGTTTATGGGACATCAATAGTGCTGGAATCCTAACCAAATGGTTAACTCTTGCTAAGGTTGCTGGCATTGATGTCGTTTGGAAGCCCACTTTAGATGATCAATGGCTGTGCTAGACGAAATATTGGGTCATCGCAATCTATTCCTCAATATCCTTCTTAAGAGACATAAATAATATTTCTCCAAATCAAAATGTTAGAATTTGTGGGGAATATCGATGATCCAAATGACATTTCTTCTTCAAATCATCGTCAAAATGAAGTAGCTGATATTTGAGGAGTGTCAGATTACTGATAACAGCAGCAGTGTGGCAGTTAATTGCTGTTAGCAGGAGGAAAAATTACCTTGTTCTTTAAATTTTTTCCTTCTACATTTTATTTAATCGTTTGCTTTTACTTTACAACCAAATGATTTGACCCACATTCCCTCACGAAGATTTGCTCCTTAATCTCAACAAGTACCAATCAAATAGCAGATTTAAAAAACTCCGGAAAGGGGGAATTATGAAATAAACAAATTGAAAATATAATAAATAAACTCAATAGCTCAATATCACGCCAACCGATTTCGATGATTATTGTTTTTAGTGTATATTAATTTGTTTTGGAATATCTTTTTTTTTTCTATTTGAAGTCAGTTTTTGTTAAAACATGTCTATTTATAATTATTTTTCTTCATTTGTTAACTTCCTCGCGGCTCACTCAGAGTTAAGTTGTCAATGTCAGTGACAAAGCTAATACCACCACCCCCTGAGCCTATTTTTTATATCTACTTATCACACCCTCCAAATCAGAACGTATAACTGCTTACCAATCCAAATAAAGATAGCAGGCTAGTATCTACCCGTCCGGACTTCACGAGCTAAGTGTATTGTACCAGTAATTTATAAATTTCGTAGGATTTGCGTGCGAATTTGGAATCGTCGTGGCCTAACGGATAAGACGTCCGATGCATTCGTGTTGAGCGATGTACCGGTGTTCGAATCCCGCAGACGGGTACCAATTTTTCTAATGAAATACGTACTCAACAAATGTTCACGATTGATTACCACGGTGAAGGAATAACATCGTGTAATAAAAATGAAACCCGCAAAATTATGATTTGCGTAATTACTGGTGGTAGGACCTCTTGTGAGTCCGCGCGGGTGGGTACCACCACCCTGCCTATTTCTGCCGTGAAGCAGTAATGTGTTTCGGTTTGGAGGGTGGGACAGCCGTTGTAACTATACTTGAGACCTTAGAACTTATATCTCAAGGTGGGTGGCGCATTTACGTTGTGGATGTCTATGGGCTCCAGTAACCACTTGACACCAGGTGGGCTGTGAGCTCGTCCACCCATCTAAGCAATAAAAATAAAAAGAACACACCTTAAACACCTTTTCCTAATCAAAATTTATACACGCTTACAAGATTTAAGTCCCGTATAATCGCATCATTCGATTTACATCTGAAACCTTATCCTTATAGGAATACAGTATGACGGGCAAATCAACTTCTTTATTTAGTAAAATCTTAATCAACAGTTCAAATACAATGTTTGTGTGTGCCCGAAATTAACAAATCATAGGTTCGAGTGGTTACTGGAGCCCATAGACATCTACAACGTAAATGCCGCCACCCACCTTGAGATATGAGTTCTAAGGACTCGGTATAGTTACAGCGGCTGCTCCACTCTTCAAACCGAAACGCATTACTGCTTCACGGCAGAAACAGGCAGGGTGGTGATACCTACCCGTGCGGACTCACAAGAGGTCCTATCACCAGTAATTACGTAAATTATAATTTTGCGGGTTTGATTTTTATTACACGATGTTATTCCTTCACCGTGGAAGTCAATCATGAACATTTGCTACGTACGTATTTCATTAGAAAAATTGGTACCCGCTTGGGATCCGAACACAGGTGCATTGGTCAGCACGAAAGCACCGGACGTCTTATCCTTTAGGCCACAACGACTTCTTTCTGAAAGTCTTACACGTAATTTGTACAGGGGTATTCTTTGTCATGACCGATTGGTACTATTTATGCCGTAAAGAAGGTTTACCATCCATTACTGAAATTAAAATCTATGTATACAAAAATGAATTGCTATTCGTTAGTCTCGCTAAAACTCGAGAACGGCTGGACCGAATTGGCCAATTTTGGTCTTGAATTATTTGTGGCAGTCCAGAGAAGGTTTAAAAGGTAGATAAATATGAAAATGCTCAGAATGAAATAAAAATAACAATTTTGTTTTTAAAAATAACAAAAGTTTAGGTCTTTTATTTATCGATTGAGGCACAACGAAGTCTGCCGAGTCAGCTAGTTACAAATAAATATTAGGTGTTTCTTAAGGCTTTTAAAGTCAACGAATATCGCAAACATCATTGGAATATAAAACGTTCAAAGGATATTAATATAAATATACATTTCGGATAAAAGATAATCATAACATTATACAACCACTTATGCAAAGCAATAAACGTTAGGATGGAAACTGGCCGACATTCTTGCGAATGTTGTAGTCATATTACAAATTTATTCTCAGAATTTGCAAACTAACCAGCTGCCAAACTGCTTATATAGTGACGCACGAATAATCTCTACACCTTAGGTATTGATATTTACATTTGACTCTAGCATTTATGACAATCATTTTTGAACCTATATATATATATAAATAGTATGTACATAATCTCTATGAAACCACATTCGTATATTACCTGGTGGTGAGTGGTTACCGTCGCCCATGGACTCCAGCAATGCCAGGAGCTGAGCCAAGCCGCTGCCAGCTGTTAAATACTCTCCGCAAGCCTCGTTTGAAAAAGGACATGTCATAGCGCTCGGGAAACACCGTGGAGGGGAGCTCATTCCAAAGCCGGATGGTACGTGGCAAAAAAAACTGGAAAAGCTCTGTGGATGAACGCAGTGGCTCCAGGTAGTATCTATGTACGGTGAAGAGCGGTGTAATAATAAAAACGAGATGATGGGATCATTTCAAGCAATTCCTCAGAGCACTCCCAACAGAACATATGGTACAAAATACAGAGGGAGCCGAAGTCCCTCCGCAGACCTAGAGATTCCAAATGATCCGTGAGTAATTACACCGTGCTGCCCATACAAACAAGTTATAAATAAAATATTATGTGCCGCTTCCCGAATTCTCCCTATCCGAGCTGTATACGACGACTGACCTATTTCTCAGAGCCGGAACTTACTTAAATATAAAAATGAAACAAGGACGTGGACAGAAATAACCAAAAGACTGAGATCGGCCAATGAATAGCTAGACTAAAGTGGCAACGAGCAGGGTTTGTAAAATAGATCTCTGCTAGATCCAAAAATTATTTGATTGGTAAGCGCACCTCTAAAGGTACAATATGAGCAAACCCTCCCTCCAAGGTGAACCTTCATTTCAGTAAAAGTCGCAAAAATAGGTACTGGGTAGGAGAATCATAATGCCCAGTCCAAAGACCAAAAAAGATAAAAAGAGACAAACAGACGAATTTTTATTTTTAGTATTTAAGCTACACATTTAAATTGAGGATATTACTTCAATGGAAAAATGATTTGAAAAGAGTCGTTGGTATTTGAGGAAGCTGGGTTCGTATCTCCGTATCTTTTGTCAAAAAAGCCCATAGAACCAATCTCGAAGGAATTCGTGTAACAGCCCGAAATTCCATCAAATGTTAACTCTGCAATTCGTCAGATTTTTCCATTCAAACGTAACATTACAACGGCAGATGTAATTTTCCTTATTCATAAACTGGTCTTTGCACACGAGAAATACTTGTACGGTACTAATATCTATCGCATATAATTTTCCGTGGACCATCCCGCCGTGTCCGCACCTAATTTCAGAACACGATATGAAAGTACTTCACGGGAGAACCAAGCGTCGCATTTTTTAAAAAGGGAAGCGAGAATTTTTCAGTTCAGAATTTGTGCCTTCGGGTTCGCGAGTTTGATGAATCCCTCGAGTGTTGAGAGAATTAAAGACGATAAGGAGCTAAGTGGGTTAACAGCTTGTTTATTTACTAAAATTTCTATGAATCCACCTGAACTGTAAAGTTTTAAATTAAATTTCAAGGACTACAAACATGTCATGAACAAAGTTCATTCTAAATCGACACAGCAAAGAAGAATAGTTTTGGAAGTACACTGTACTGAACCTTCGACGAAGATTTTTTTTTTTTGTATTTTACATATACAGATCCATATTCTAAGTTTTTGACAGTATAAAGTCTTATAAATCTATAAAAAAATGTCAAGTTCTGCCTAAGCCTGCAAGCGAGAGGCACAATCGGCTCAACTTTTAAGTAATCGAAAAAATTGTAATTTTCAGTGAACTCCTTCTCCTACAAAATAATGATAATTCAGTGATCATCAATGTTTCCTTATGACGTTATCACGTAAAACTATCGTCCGTAAACCGTCCAAAAATAATCTTCCATCGAGCGGGTGATATTGCTCAGTAGACCGACGACCCGAATACTTTTTTTTCCTACCTATGCTGATAGCCTTAAGAGGCTATTTCAGCTTCACCTTAACATGTAGGTGAGCTCACGGGGCTCAAACTGGAAGTGTTGCTA